AGCTATATTTTTGTCTAAAAAAAGTTGTTACGTTTTATAAGAAAGTATTATAATTCACTAATAATCAAAATTTAATTTGCATTATTTTAATAAAACATTGTGTTGGTAAAAAATGTGTTAGCTATTCTGAATCAACTATGTTTTTTTTTATATCTTATAAAGTTATAAAGTTATAACTATTAAACTATGGTTTTGAATTTAGTGCACTATAAAAAGATGGAAATAAAATCTAAAAGAATGCAATTTAAAATACACTTAGATAAATCCAATCAATGCGCCAAAATAATATTATGTATTTAGTTGGTTTTAAAAACTGCTTAAGAAGTTGATAATTTTAAAATATTCTATCTTTTTTTCTGAAAAGAAAATGTTTTTTATTGATGTTTAATAAATTCAGTTAGACTTAGAGGCGGCCCTACACTACATAAGCCCTACATATAATTCGAAGCAGCCCTTTTATCGAACCTGCATCATACCCTGCACGCTCCACCTGTCAGTAAATCACCATATTAAAAACATCATATAATATTATATAGAATATACGCGATGAGAAAAAAACAGTGGCACAGTAGTTGTAGTAGGTATTATAATATTATTATTATAATATCACGCGTAGTATATTATGTTATATACCTATATAATATAATATATTACGTGTATAATATGAAACCGAGCGGCACGTTTAGCAACCAATGTTTGTCTAGATGGTCACGGACGAGCGCGTCCTTGTGGCGGGCGGAGAGGACGGCACGGCGGCGGTAGCGGCACCCGACACTGGCTGGCGGCGCGCGGATGGACGGGCGGACGAGTGCTGTGTGTTGTAGAAGTGCCCGCCGACCCGCGTCGCGCCGCGCCACCGGCCCGCGCGCTCCGAGTCCCGATTTAGTATAGAAGGTCCGGTAGACACGCAGACAACAACAAACAACGCCGCCACCGATCGGCGTACACGCGCGCACACACTCACACACATACACGCGCGCGCGATCACGCCCGCCAACGTTTCCCGCCGCCGCAGTGGCGGCGGCTGTCGCGTCCGCCGCGTCCACGTCCTACCGGCTCGTTTACACGCACACACATGGGCGCGCGCACACGCACGTTCGTTATATAAACCCTTCGCCTACCGATATCGCCGCTGCAATTATTATTACCGGCAGCACGGACGACCAGATATCACATACACACGCGCCCGGCGGCGGAGCGAGCGAGCGCGCGCCGATGGAAGGGCGGACGGGTCGGGGAGGGGAATGAAAATGTTCACACGCGTAGGCACACATAAAAGGCGGCGATGGCGCGCGCGCGCGCACGTTAACTCGACCGGCTAGCCGCCGGGATCGGTTTTATTATTATAACCGCCACCGCTCCGGACCACCCGCCCTGTCCGCGCGGAACGCAGTCCCAGTGTGTTCTTCTCGCCGCCGCCGCCGCCGACGACGACACCCGGACCACCAATGGTGTCGGCGGGAGGGGTTGCACAGACTCGTCTGCCCGGTTTTGCGTCGGGCCCGATCACGCACTAAAGTCGGATCATTCTTACTCTTATCTACTGTATACGTCCTTACTTCTTAAACTAGTAGGTATCCGTAGATAAGATGGCCGTGGACATTTTAGTATAATCGGTTTTATTTCCGTAACTGCTTCGAGGAAGAGTTTTTTTTTTTTTACTAGTAAAGTTCGTTGTTGTTTGGGGGGAGATTGAGTTTGCCGTTACAGACAAACATTTTTTTCGATTAAAGTCTTTCGACTTGCAATTTTGTATACTATAATAGTTACGACTTCAAAATTTGGTAGATAAAATCGATATTGGTTCTGCTTCGATGTATGTTCAATATATACCTACAACGTATTAAAAACGATACCTTTTTTTTCAAATTAATAGTGCTTATATAATATTATATTCGCTATTCAGAGTGGGCCACTGTTTTTACCCGATTTTCAGTCTCAACTACAAAATTACGAGAGGAAGAAATAACTAATAAGGCATAGTTCGCCCACTGGTCAAACAATACATAGTTTAACTATACTATATAAATGTATGTATATGTTAAAGCTTTCTATTGCAAACTTTTAGAACAATGATCAAACGTTAGTTACCTAACCTACAAGACTAATATACATGAAATACAATTATTATTTTTATGATAAACTAAGGAAAAACTATAGGTTAGGTCAAGTCCACAAAGACTTAAACTTTAATAAGTATATAATTTGTTTTTCAATCAGTTTATATAATGCTACCAAACCTGTAATTATTATAGTAATTTAGTACTGTTCTATAAACTGTACTGCCAATTTACAAAGTTCCAAAAGATTTGATATATTTTATGGTCAATTTTTAATTAATATATATGTAGAGAACAATTATTATAATATAACATGAATAACAATATATATTAATAATTAATATCATGCTTGAGGAAGTTACTTTTTGGCAACACATCTAAAAGTTGATTTGCGCGTAGACTCAAAATAGTATATTATCACAACTTGTATTTAAATTAAATTATTTGAATATGATTTTTGTTCAGTTTTATTAACTAAAATTATATTTAAAAAGTGTTATATTTTTTCTTAATTTTTTTCTTAATCCTGAACGGAAGATTACTGATTACTTATACTTTCAGTATTGACATTTTATAATATTTCAATCTGTTTTCAAATGCTTATACCAGCCACCAGGGCCCAGGGGTGGCCAACCCAAATGATCTTGTGGGCCACTTTGGAAATACATTATAAGTTCACGGCCTATACATACTAAATGTCTAAATTACATATTTTAGATTTGAACAAAATAAAAAAAGTTTTGGTGAACTAATTAATTAAAATAAATAAAATGAATTTATAATTTACAAACATAGATAATATAATAATTTTTATTTATTTATTTAGTAAAATGGTTGTTTCTCAACTCGTTGTGCGGGCATTCCAGAATATTCTATATCTATTGGCACAAAAATAATTTTTTTTTAGCAAATGTATGATAAATCTCGCGGGCCTCAAAAATTTCTAAGGTGGGTTGGCCATCCCTGGTGTATAGGTACCTATAGTGTTTTAATTTTTAAAATTTTTTAATTTATACGTAAAAAGAATATTTTTCAGAATTATAGTTTTATTTTTACGTTTTTCAAATATTGATTTAGATAAAATTGTATTAAATTTAAATGTACATTCCAAGTTGATTATTAAATATTGGTATAAAACTTTGTATTATGATTAAATGTTGTCACATATCGATAGACGATATTAATTTTTTAAAAGATCCACTTAGGACTTAGAAAGTAAGAAACATAGTAATATTTAATAATATCATTATAATATGCTCCTAATGTTAATCATAGGTGTTGATGTGGGCTAACGGGGGCTAAGTCCTATCAAATAATTCGCCCCTCCTCCAAAAAAATATCATGTTTAACAACTAACAAGACAGTTTAAATTTTGTATTGGTGCCTAATGCCTATATAGCTATATAGTAGTATAAGGATATAATTTGTTATTATTTTTCGAGTTGTTCGATTCTACTTAGTTCTATTTTTTAATCAATATAGTTGTGTCCGACCCGTTAAAATTCGAACCAGTAATTTATGAGTAATTTAACTTTATGTATTAAGGATGTATTATTTACTTTATGTCAATAATGTGGTGTTATATGAAATAAATTATGTAATATTTTGTTTAGTACCACTGTACTTATCATACTATACTCAAACTTATTTTACAAATTATAAAACGTTAATAATATTAATAGTTAATAATTACTTAATTTTTAAACAATTAGTTTAGTTCCTATATCATTTAAAAGTTAAAACGATTACCCTGATTATACAAACAGTTTATAATAACTCAAACACTAGGTATACTCGTTCAAATTTCGTTTTAAATGAAACAAAACTTTTAAAAACCTAATCTACCTACTTATCAATTTACAGTTAAAATGCATGGTGATTCTGATGTGAAAGAAGAAGCTTATACCAACAAAAACACTCCTTAAATGGTATAAAATAATATAAGTATAGTTTAATGTAAATTGTAATATGGTATTTAACTACCATACCATACCTAACCTAACCTATATACCTAGACTAAAAAGTTCCAAAATGTGTATAAATATTTAGCTATGTTTTTGCCTATTAAATCTAAACACCTTTAATGACGTATACCGAAAACCCCAAGTACAGGTTTTCGATATTATGAACAACAATATAAAATAGTGTAGTTATATAGTACCTATAAGTCTTACACGTGTAATGCGAGTATCTGTGTATCGCGAGGTGTATCGTATACATATATATTGTATAACGACACCTAAATTATATGTATACCTCAGAAAGTTAAAAATTAGTTTTATTTTCCAAAACTAATATTTAACTTGATAAATATTAAGGACAAATTGTATTTTATTATTTTTCAATGCAGATAAAGCTAAGTAACAAGATTCTTATATTATTATGTTTATATATTATAATTTATAATCAATGTAAACCTATCAATGCATATTACCAAAATAATTGGTAATAATTATAAATAATAACTAGAGCTTGTATAGGTATATAGGAATTTACTATATCATTATTAGTCCTTATATTACGTATTTTCCTCAACCAAAACACAAGTTTAATAATAAGAAAGATACCTTCTGTCAATTGAACATCTTATTTAAAGATATATTTTCTCTGCATATACGGAAATGAATTATTTTCATTTCCATATATGATACACTTATAGCCTATGTATTATGTATATACTGTAAGATTGAATCGTTTTTATTTGTTACATTATATTATACGATAATACGTTTACCTAGGTATATTATTATGAACTAAGGTATCAAAGAATATACGAAGTGGATATTGTTGGATTACTTCGAAAAGTTCTCCATATAAACTGTACCTACTTACTAATATGTTCTTAAAACTACGTAAATAATAAAAGTCGATCAAACGATTTAAATAAATGATAGGTATTATAGATTGTAAATTATAATGATAAAAAAAATTATGTATTACCCTTTTACCATCCTTTTGATTAGACGACTGTGAAAATATCAACGATGAGCTGGTGACGATGGGTTCCCTCTTGCTAAAGGGATGTACAGTGGCCGTGACGGGAGACGGCGTGGCCGCAGAAGAAGCGTTATTGTTGTTGTCGTGGATTCCTGTGGAAGACGTCTCGGATGCGACTGGTATGACGACGGGCAAAGAGTCCGGTTCACATTTTCCTGTCATCATAAACACGCGCGCGCTTTATAATAACGAAGTGGGACGACGTCACATGATGTCGCAAGCGCATCTGACGTGTGACTACTGCTGTGGCCTGGCGGTGCCGCGGCGGTTCCCGACGGTAATGAGAGAAGCGAGAACTCGACGCCGCCGGCGGCGGCACGGGTGACCCGACCGCAGTGTCGACACCTCTCTCCCCCCGGTCGTGGTTCAACCCCCACGCCGCCGTCCCATCCATCCGCGCACGATTCACCCCGCCACCGCGACCGACGACTGTCCCACCGCAGCACGCACCCACCCCCGCCGAACTACTCTTCCGCCGCGTGAACGGTGTAATAGCCGTGACGCCACCGACGACCCGCGCGCGCTTTGGGCGCCAACGGCACGCCCACCACCCTCGCGGTGATATTAAATTATACGAGAAATCCCCTCGTTCTGCCTACCCCCTAACACTACACCCCCTAACCATTCGATACGATATGCCTGCTCGAAATATGACAAAAAAAATATATATACATACATATATCTCGGAGGGATTTATATTATATATATATATTATACACTTTTGTGAAACTGGGAACTAAGATTTTTGAAAATGATACTTATATTATTATATAAAATCACATATTATCCGAATGCAATAGTCGACTATAATATTATATAATAAACAATAATACAATACTATATACGTTCATAATTCACGTCCTATATTTTATTTTAGTTAATGAGATAAATATTCTACTAAAAATTTACAATTTCCCAAATTGTTCGTAAGTCTAATACCGTTACGTACCTCATATATACACACGTAATAACTAAATATAATATAGTAGAAACAAAATATCTTCAATAGTTTGTGTTGAAGACTAGCTCAATATCCTCATTAACGCAAGAAAGCTATAAACATTATTATATTATAGTTCAAAGTTTGAGAATAATAATTCAGAAAAAGAACAAAACATTAAAATTGTTTAAATTTAGTATATTCTAAAAAAAACAGTGTAGCCGAATAATAGACCAATATACGGCGTATATAGGTATATCTTATATACATATCAGTAGCGGATCCAGAAGTCACCCAAGGGGGGGGGGAATTTTCAAAAATTAAATTGTCTTTTTGTTTAGCCAAATATTATAATAGAAAATAACGTTAAAAAGACAGCCCAAGGGGGGACGAACGCCCCTTTGCCCCCCCCCCCCCACCTCGTATCCGCCACTGATACATATATAGTAGGTACATTGATATCTAAAATGATTTTGTATATATTGCTGCATGCAATATACTAGAAAAAATCGGACATAAATCGTGTCACACAATGCTCCCGGCAAAATTACTTTAACAACTTCAAAGACCTACCTTCGAATGAACACAGAATTTCAATATGAATTTATATATAAATCAAATTTTTATCTAGTATTTACTGGTTAATGAAATATTGATTATTAGTTATTACTTATCAGTATTAAAGTTTGATGAGCGGAGTACACATATTATAGTGGGCCAATACGCCGATATTTTGCGGGTAACCGGCATACCAGTTCTGTGCAGCCAGTCTATTTCGTTCATCTGAACTTTAAAATATAAATTTTAACTACTTCTTCTCAAACAAAATCCGATTTTTATACAACGATATTCTCAGAAAAATCTTCTACTTAGGAGTATGAAATCAAAAATGTGTGATGTCTTATTCAAAAGAAAAAAAATTGTGAATTATAATGATGTAGGTATATAAACAATAATTAAATTATTGGTGTAAATTGCAATGTAAGAAACTGATTCCAAAAATGTTAATACTTTTCAATAAAACCAGTGTTGACAAAAACATTATATTATACAAATACATATTTTAAAAATATCTCTTCCAATTTTTATATAATATATAAATATATAGTTCATAACAATATTATTTCTGAGTTAGGTATACCTATATAAATATACAAATATTTAAACGTTTTGTAAGAAATTCGGAAGATCAACTAAAGGTATACTTATAACAATAATTGTTTTTATTAGCTTCCAACAAATAAGTTACTATATATAGCTTGTTGTGTTATAACTTATAACTTATAAAATTAATTCATTTTCAAGACTTTTAAAATCTTAAAATGCTTAAATAATGTTTTTAACATTTTTTTTTATCGATATAAACGAGTAAACATGAATGTTATTCGTGTAACTGTAAGAAACGGGTAAGCCCAAATTTAATGTAGATATTATATATACTATTGTTAGTTGTTACCTAAGTATGATTGTAGAAAAATGAACATGTACATAAGTTATAATGGCGTATTGGCGTATATTTTAAGCTTTTTTAAAAGGGCGAAGTTTTATAATATATAGAACAGAATAATTGATAATAAGCAATGAATTATATATACCTAAAATTTAGTTTTATACACTTATGATTATCAAAAAATGGTGTATCAAACGTATCAAACTCTACAATTGATTACGAATATGTTTAGAATGCTTTAGTTTGGTACTTACCTAAAATCTGAAATTAAAAAATAACACTTTTAAACTTAAATGCTAAATTCTTTGAGATATTATCAAATAAATGCATTTAATGTCTATACAAAAAAACTTCAAGAAAGTAGGGTACTGCTGGTCTGCTAATTAGTAATTAGTAATTAGAAAATTGTTACTATTAGTTTCTTTCTTTGAAATATCGAGCTCAAATTCTCACGTCGTATTAAATATATTTTAATAGTTACAACTTTACTGTTAAACTAATCATAATGTTCTGTGTTCAGTACCTACCTATAACCTTAGTATTTATCAAGCACTAGTCTTTTAGATTTATCTTTAAGCATTAGTTAGGTTAGATAAGCAAAATATATATATTATATAATTTGAATACCAGCTGTTTCTAATTTCTTAGACAGGTTAGGTTAGGTTAGGCTACACATAATATACAGTTAGGTAGATATATGTCATCAAATTTTGAATTATTTCTCTTATAACATATAAATTATAATATAATATAATTTTTTCTACTTTTTATCATTGTAATTTTATATTTCTAAAGAGTTGTTTTTTCTTTGGGTTTGTCATACGTTTATATTAGTTAACATAATTGTTGAGCTGCCATAGTCACCGACTTAAAACCAATAAAAATTAAATATTATATTATTATATCACTATATATATCAGAAGATTTGTGTAGGAATGCCTATCGAAACAAAATCGTAGTACGAGTACCCACCTACCTCTGTCGCTAGCGTACAGAGTAATTTTGGAAAATGCCGATTTTATTTTTATTTTTATTCGGATTGCCGATATTATTTTGACGGCTGAATTAGAGTAGTGCGTACCTACCTATATATATATTATTATGTAAGTACACAAAGATTTGTTTTTTCCCCCAAAAATAACAAAAAACAATTAAAACCTTATGGCTTATACATACTCATTTATATAATATATATATTTGTATTATATAGAACTACGTTTCGTTATAAATCAGATACGCTGTGCGCGACAGACCGTGTCAGCGTTTTCCACGACAGCGGATGCGCGGGGGCCCCGGCGGCGTGTGTAATGAGTACACGCGCCTCGGCACAAAGCTTACGAACGACCACCGCCGCTGCCGCCGCCGATGCCGATGCCGGTCGGCCGCTACTGCCATCACCACACCACACCGCAAAGCGCTGTGCGGCGCGTTCCGGGGATTTTATGGCGTGCACTGTAATTACACTATGGGTATATAGAACCGATGGCGGCGGAGGCCGGTCACAGGTGTCGGACAACGACTATAACTTCTTCTTCTTCTACTTCTTCTTCTTTAGCTTCCTATTCCTCTGTACAACTCTTCCTACCATAGCGTACCATAATAATATCTCCTTCTCACTCCTCCTCGTCCTTCTCCTCCTCCTCCTCCGGTCATAGTACAACCAGCCCGACACGCACCCATCGGGCACAACGCGTAACGGATCCCATAACCGGTCGTAAACGATAATGACATATATTATATTCTGTAGGTATCGTTGCTATGTCGGTGTAAAAAAAAACCCAAATGTAATGGATACCACGCACTAGATAATAGTAATAATAATAATAATAATAATAATTTTAATATTTATAATATTATGTACAGGTACCTCCCGCGGTGACACGTCAGTTGAGGAGGCCCTAACTAAAAATCGACGGTATCCCTTATTTTAAAACATTTTGCATGTACAAAATGTATAAGTATAAAATATTTACACATGGCAATTAATAAAAGTAAATTCTATATTATGTGCTTTTTTTTCTGCATTAGTCTTCTTCAAGCTTTCAATGCATTACCTATTCGGTTTCACAGTAATAAGTACCTAATAAATTATTTATTATATTTTACTTTTTAATTACTTTTTACTTTTTATGTTTGGTCTATGATCTGTAGGAAAAATTAAAAGCAGGATAGTGTACAATATAATATAGCTATAGGCATATGTATTTTTGTATGACCTGGTGAAATTTAAAAATGGCCAGGTTGAAACCACACCCGAAAAAAGTATTGGCACCCCTGACTGATTTTGCAAAAGTTAAATTTCAAAAATTACTCAGTGTGGTGACATCCTTGGGCCGACCTGGACTTTGCCCCTTTCGATAACATATACATTTCGTTTGACAATACATTAAGGTGGATATTAATTATGCATGAATCCCAATAAATTTATTTTATAAAATATAAATAGATACACAATTCTTTTTTCACACAAGTTTAGGTAGGTAGTTATTATTTTTAAAACAAATAAAAATATAATGTAGGTACTATACCTATTTTATAATCTACATATTTTGTTTTTCTCTTTTGTGAATTTCAATGTAAAACAGAACATTAATCAAAAATGATTCTGCAACAATGTAGATATTTTTGGAGCTGCAAAACTACATTTTTGGGGGTCACATGTGCGATTTCCAGCTTACGCTATACTGTCACAGTGTCACAACTACCTCCTATATATTTATATAATATATTATCGTCGTTTAATAATATTTAAATTTAAGTTTTATAATATAATAT